TAATTTTTGGAATCATCTTAACACTCCATCATCTCTCCCCATCTATCCTTTCCTCAACTCACCTCCTTTGACATCATAATTAACCGAACATTCAAGACGCTTAAGCTCACAGTCACCATTTTTTCTTGTCTTACCTCTTCGTGTACTCATCTCATGTCCCCTACAAGCCTCAAGTTCCTCGAATAATTGCAAAAGCCTATTTTCATACCCATCACAGGACATACCTCACATCTTGCTGAAGTTCAGAATTTTTTGGAGAATAAAGAATCCTTATTAGGACACAAATTGCATAATCTATAGTAGGCAATTTTTGCTTCTATACAGTATAAAAGTTTCTTTTTGAGTTTCTTCCACTCCGTAAAAGCAAAATCAAAAGAAAAAATCACTATAAGCAATCCCAAAAAGGAAGGGGGTGAAGCAATGACTTTCAAAAAAATAAAATAAAAAACTAAATTAAAGCCCACATAAATGAGTCAAAATGTATATAATAGCACTGGTAAAATGATCAAAAAAGTGCTAAGAAAAAGTGGCAGAAGACTTGAAAGCATACCTGCAAAGCTGCTTGGAAAATCAATCTCTCATCAGCATCTGTATTCTTTTCTTCACCAACCACGGGATGAAGTAGAGAATCATTTGAACCACCATAAAGATTGGCTGATGGAGATTTTCCAAGAGACAGAGATGGGGGTAATTGTCTATTGCCTCTGTTTTCATAAAGTGGTGATTCACTAAGATTTACACCGGTAAAATTGCCTGTATTATTTCCATTAGAATATTTTGACCATGCAGGTTGGTTATGTTTTCCATAAGTATCAGCAATGGCATTTTCCACAAAATTGTTCGATCTCGCATTAGACGAAGAAGGCTGTAAGGTAGCAGGAAGGGCCCTCTTCAAAGCCTGTAAAGAAGAAGGTACTGCAGAATTTATACCAATACTGAATCTATTATTTGGATCTCGAGCCATGTTTGAACTAGAAGTTCCAATAGTTTCAGCACTACTTAGATGTTTATGGGGTTTTAATGAAGTTTCATCATAAATCTTTGCAGAAGGAGCCTTCCAAGAACGATCATTGTAACCTGAAAATTGGTGAAGGACATTTGATCAACAATTTACACTCTACTGCACTAGACTGGTGTTTACATGCAAGAATTTAGTTTTTACCTGTCAAATTAGGAGTAGAAGATGCCCATGGTGGAAGGACCCTAGAACTGGCAGAAGCTGCAGTATCCCTAACAGGAGACTCATCCCTATAATTGTCTATTTCTCGTAAATCTGAGTCACTATCTGATGAAGTGATATCTATAGGATCCACTGATGCCATTACAGCTAAAGGATGATCTTCTTATTCAACTATCAATTCAGAAGAGTTGACACATGTAGAAACAATCTGCAAGTAGATTCAAAAAACTCAAAGATGCATAACAAAGTACTGACATTTATGATCTCAAAATCCTATACAAAATTAATTCACCTTTTACCTGTGAGGAATGTCTCGAAATCTCAAGTATAGCACCAGAAATGGAGTAACTTTTCTGAGTAAATTTTAGAATACCACGCAAAGGATCCTTGCTGTCAAGCATCCATGCAAGTTGAGCACATCAAATTCCAAGAACAAAGAAAAAAAGAAACTTAATAAGGATAACGAGACAGAATTGGCAAAAAATAATTCATGCCCACCAAAACCCACACTGGTGGTTTTGAGTCCTGAAAAAAAAAATGAAGAAGAAGAAGAAGTTAGCAGATAGAAGCATTTCCCAAAGCAAAATAAATTTATCAATAACTCACTCAAAATAAGGAAACAATTAAGCTCATCAAGGCCTCAATTTTTGGAATCGAACATCTCATGTTACGCTAATTTAAGTAAATAATTATGAAGAATGAATTGCTACTGAATAACTAAATATATGGATCAAACCATAATTCAAAAGAATGCACGGAGAAATCCAAAGTCCAAGCAATAGTTTCAGGGCAAAATCTCATATTCAAATGAAAGAAAATGATAGAGCAAAGAAACCTTAATTTCAACCCGAAATTCAAATGATAGCTCTTCAAGATTTCCTTGGTTTTCCTTATCTTAGAAATAAAAATACCTCCCACAAAATAAAACAATAAGTTGAAGTGCCAATTGCTACAAAATACAAATACATAAGCATGTGTGTGATAACTTCCATGACTCGCATGAAAATGTAGGCACGTGTGCGATTTCCGAGAGAAAGGGATGGGATACTCAGAAACCTGGTGTCTGATTCGAACATTGATCCTGGGAGTTGAAAGGCGAGAGGAGAAGGTTTGAATCAGCTCTTGCTACTCTTCCTAGTTTGGGTTCTTCAGAAAAGCCCTAATTGCTCGTCCAGAGTAACAGCGAGCGAAAATCCTTCCTCTGTTCTCACTTTTTCCGACTTCCTTTTTTCGCATAGACAGTAATTTAGCGCCTCTTTGTCTATCATTATTTCAAAAATTCATTTTTATTTTCAAACTCATTTTAAATCACATATTCTCACATAAAAATATTTTGTTCATAAATTCAAAAAATTTATTTATTTTTAATTACACATTATTCAAAAATTTATTATTTCAAAACTCATTTTTATTGAATAAGCTTGTGTTTGATAATCATTATTTAAAAACTTTTCATTCTACATATTTATTTTCAATAACACATTCACACAATAAAATATTCTACATATAAGTTATGTTCGAACCACATTTTCTTGAAAAAATACATTTTTAAATAGTGATTTGACATCATTTTAATAACATATTTTTTAATAAAATAATATTACACGCAAATTCAAAATTTTTCTTTATTTTTTAACAACACATTTTCATATATACTATTTAAAAATGCATTATTAGGAATATAACGTAGCTCAAACAAGGGCATAAATTCAGAAAAAAAAATCTATTTTTCTAATCACATATTTTTCAAAAATTCACTATTTGAACTTTATTTTTTTTAAATAATGACCATCGAACAGAGGCTAATGATAAAATAACACGGGCTTAGTCCACAACAAGGCCCATGCTCGGCTGATGGAAAAAATTGAGTCTTTTCAATTTTATTCTTTGACAAACACTTTTTTTCACGCTCATTTTCAATTATACGTTCTTAAAAATATAAAGGTGCGTTTGGTTTGCATCTCTGTTTTCAGTTTAAATTCATTTTCTATTTTTCGTTTTGAGGGATTATTTTAAAATTAAAGAAATACGTTTAGTTTATCATTTTGAAAAACTATTTATCAAAAAAATAAAATAGAAAACACATTTGGTTTAAAAAATTAAAAATGATTTTATGAATTTTTATTTAATTAATTTGATTGTTAAGTAAATCGTATCAACTTTATGCTAATATGTGATTGAAAAAATTATAAATTTTGAAGTTGTTAATAAAAAGGAATCGTTGAAAGATGGCATTAGAGAGATGGATTCTTCACTAGAGTTCTAGAAGGAGCTTGAGAAGAGAGAGAGATTGAGAGATGTATATTTATATTTGGGTAGGTTTTGTGCGATTTAATTAATTATTTTAGTTTAAGAAATTTTTAAGTTTGTTTTTTTTTTT